GGTTACACAGCGGGCAACGCAGCGGCAGCGTGCGGGGCTGGGAGCCGGATGCTGTGTCAGACGTGAAGATCCGCTGCGGCGAACGGGAACGCGACAGCTGTCACACGGATGGGGACGGACAGAGGGAACAGTCTCACTGCCCTCGCTCCTACGCGAAGTACTGGAGCGGAGAAAGCCAGTTCCGTCGTGCAGCGCCGCGCTTCCTGGAGCCTGCAGCGGCATCTCGGCCGAGCTGACGCGAGTGCTGTGACACTGAACTACGGCCTGTGCCGCCTGTTACTTCTTTATTTATGAGTCCATTTCCAGAGGGATTTTTCTGGCGACAGAGCCCACAGCAGTCTTTCTGAAGGCCTCCAGCACCGCCTGCCTAAGCGTAAGGGGGGAGGACACCAAGCCGGGCGGCTGCTGCGAACGCGATCCCAGCGCGTGGCTGCGCGCGGCCTTTGCCTGGCTACGGCCCCGCTGACTCGGCACAGGGCAAGAGGAGAAGGGGAATCGGGAATTCCTCGGCGCTGCCCTGCGTCTGGAGATGAGGCACACGGTAGCTCCCCAGGGAGATACCCATGTGTGTTTATATATCAAAGGAGAGGGTTCAGGACTTCTTTTTTTTAATAAGGATGCATAGCGATATTTTTAGTTTAACTTTTATATGAATGTAATTTAATTCATTTTTCTACTAACTCAATTCTGGTATGTTTTAGACTTGGTTTCCATCCTTTGCAGTTTTCCTAAACGTCCCAGACACAGCGCTTATGTTTCAGAGGAATATTTTTGTCAGCAAGTATTTTGGGTTTTCTAGTTACCATAAATCAGATTGACCTTATGTATGGAAAAAGAAGTTTACATGATACTGTAAAATGTATAATATGTACATAATCTTCAGAAGACAATTATTTTGGTAAATTGGCCTGTATTTTTAATGTCACGGTTGCAGTATTTAATTATTTGAGACATAATAAAACTCGACTGCAGTCACTCAAGGAGAATCCAGCGGCTGATCTTTCGCAGCCTGACGGCCGGCCTGAGCTTCACTGAGGCCGCGTTCCTGCGCGGCAGAACTCAGCAGGGCCGGGCAGAGAAAGGGGGCTGGGAGCCGTTTTCAGAGGAGCAGGGTGAGGGCCAACGTGAGGGAGAGTTTGCAGCTGGAGCAATAAAGCGTCCAAGCCCTCTGCGTCACGCGTGGGGCTGCAGATGAGGGAGCCCAAGCCCTTCCCTCCCCGGAGCAGGGCCTGTTGCCTCTGCTGCCCAGCCCAAGGCGCAGGAAGCGTCCGCCCTGCCCTGCCTCAGGGTCTGCCTTTCCGCAGCCTCTCTTGCGCTCAGAACGACCGCATCCAGTCGAGTGTTTATGGTCATGGCTGCAGCGTTGCCGGAGGAGACGTGGAGAACACTGGCTCTCTTCTGCCACGCTTGCAGTGTGGGAAGCAGCCGTGTCCAAAGCCCTCTGCAGGCACCAGCTCCCTACCACCACCAGCCGCTGCTCCCACCTTCCCTCCAGTTCCTGGAGCAATTTCCTGGAGCAGTTTGCTGGCTACAGCTGAACCTACAGGGGTGCTCACGTGTGCCCCTGCCCTGGGGTCCCTGCCATTCCCCCCGCCCCGAGGCACAGGACGCGTTCAGGGAGCAGCTCGGGCAACACCCTTTTGTTTCAGTCAGGGGTGTCTTGTGGCTCCAGCTGGAGGCCAGAGAGGTGAAAGCCTCTGCCCAGAAGGATGAGCTGCAGAACAGGGGCTCCTACTGTGGGTGGTACCAGCCAGCGTTCACAGCAGCTGCCATAGCGATGCAGCAAGCGTGACAAGTCCACATCTCACGAACAGGCCAAGAAACCCTTAACAGGAGCCTGTTCTGTCCTTAATCCAGGGCCTGCACCTCAGACAAGAGTTACGTGACTTGAGATCAACTTCCCGAGCGAGACGTGAGGCTTGGCTGGCGACGGGGGCGTAAGCTCCGCACCGTGCCTCAGCAGCCACCACTGGTGCCTCCCCCTGCCCCGGAGCTGAGGTCGGCACGACCTAAGACGTGATTCCTCAGGACTTCCGGTATCTTTTGGAAAGGCTAAGGCAAACCACACAAGGCCCTGCAGAGCCGCCTGCTCTACGGCCGCTCACCCTGAAGCGGGTCTGACCTCTTGGCCTGACGCGCGTCACTGCGTGCCAGACCCGGGATGGGAAGGGGAGCCCCCGCGGCTGGTCCTCATTGCCGTGGGATGTCTGCTGGGAGACAGGGAAATAAGCTGGAGATGGCCCACAGCGTGTGGGGGTGCAGAGTGAGCGGCAGAAGGAAACGCTCTTGGTCTTACCGCTCCCGGAGCGTGGCTCCCAGCAGGATGCCATGGCAAAGAGTCCCACGCCAATGGAGAGAAAGCGTGGCTTCACAGGGCAAAGGCACATCGCCTCTGGACAGCTACTGGCGCACCGTGAGCGGGCCTAGCATCCGCTCGTCACAGTGCCGGAGACCAATCCGGGAACAGGGCGAGAGTGACGGGAAAACTCGGCTTATGGAAGAAAGTTCATGCTGCAATCAGCTCAGGAAAGAAATGTCTGGATGACCTGATTGCGGGCTGGAAGAACCCACGGAGACAGGAGTCCTCATCCAACACCCCACCCCATGAAAAGCTGAATTAAAATAAGGTTCAGGCCAGAAATAGAGTGTCAGTATTTAGTAATAGAGTTAATTAGTCATTGCAGCAATTATTTTAAAGGCTGTGATGAATTCTTATCGCTAGGCGTCTTGTAAAAGAAATTCTAGTTCAGCCACAGCTTGGGCAGTTGGAGAAGTCCTACAGCCTACGACAGATTGAAAGCTCAGTCAATGGGATCGTAACAGCATGCTCTACCCATAAAACACGTGAGACAGTAACAGGCAGAAAATCAAACGCAGTGGGATTCATTCTGTAGGTCAGGAAATCATCAGATACAGTATTAGGGCTCCGCACCCCACCCCAGGAGAACGACTGCTCTTGCACTTGGCCTTTGCCGGCTCTGGCCTTTGAAACCTCTCGCAGGCTGGCAGCGGCCCCACACCATCGGGGAGCTTCCCGGCACCGGCACGCCAACGGCACACTCGGCATCCAGGGTTCGTCCAAATCCAGTCAATGCCAGCACTAACCTAAGGCTTGATCGAACCCACGCTGAGCAGCGAGTTCGACAGCTCGACTTTAAAGCAAACAGGAGAAAAATGGCTGCCATTAGGAATGAAAGACACAGACCCGCTTGTCACTGAAGTACAAACTGGTTTCTGACAAGTTTTATCCACTTTTGCCGCGGGTTTTCGTGACAAAGGAGCCGCAGAGCCGCCGTTGCTAAAAACGACCTTCACTCAGCTTCTCAATTCCGAGCACGTAACGAGTGTTTACCGAGCGCACAGAACTTCTTTCTCTGCTACACGCAGGAAATAAATATCTATTGTTACAGCCAAAATATGTGAGGGGGAAGGGAATGAGAAACCCAAAGCTGCGTATCCAGAGCAAGATAAAGAGTTGCCTTCAGTGCACCTGGCACATCATCAGCCTTCAAACAGGTTTCCCTTCCACAGTGCTTGCTGGTTCAAATGCAGAATTATTCCTTATTTGCTCATTGTCGCCACTTCTAAAGGAAATAAAATCCCAAATATCTTTGCCTTATCTACTGAGAGGGGGTTTGTAGAGTCTTACTGGGAGTTCAGCACATTCAAGTTGCTTATGGGCTCTGCTATAGCCAGGGATTCAGCCAACAAGACTGGCAACGCCTGTACCTGTTCCTACACAACAGCAAGGTCACAGGCACACTGGTGTCAGCAACCTGGGACTCCCTGGAACACAGTCACTGCACTGCACTACTTATTTTGTTCCAAAGCTGCTTTTATCTGCAGATCTTAAACCATCTTTAAAAAGTGTTGTACCTCATCTTAGAGAGGGGCACCGAGGCAAGGCAGTGTGAGGGATTTGAGAATGGGGGTTGAGAAGACCCCTGAGAACAGAGACCCAACTGGGGCTGAGCTCAGCCCCAGGTCCTGCTGTCCCTTCTGATTGCAATCAGCGACACTGACCCGTCTTTTCCGCAGGTTTTCAACCACACAGCAAAATGGTTGTATCAGTTCAGAGAAGTATTTTGCAACAGACTTTCGACCTGGTGCTGATCTCTCACTGTTTCATTCTTACAGCCCCTGCCTGTGTGAATTCCTGGCCTTCCTTCGCATCCCCTCTGATGTCAGCTGGGGCCTCTGCCTTTCCTTAGCTCCGTATCTACGCTTCAACTGCACGAATTAACACTCCACCAAATTTCAGAGGTGGCAAAACTATCAGGAGATTTCTCCATCTGAAGTGCTGTTATGTGTCAGCCACGAACATGGTGACAGTGTCACAAAGTGCCTCGAAAACTCTCGTGGTGCCCTCAAAGCCACAGGCGCAGACACTCCAGCAGCACCTACCACAGAGCTGACT